TTTTTGCTTAATTTTTGCGCTACTCTCAGCTGAATGATAGGCGGATATTTTGTAGTAGGAAGTGAAATGCTGTTTTTAGTCCAAAGCGGTCACATAATGACTACCGCTTATCTCTCAGCTGCTGATATTTTGCTGTTGTAAACTTTTGATGCTATACATTGTTGGATGCATTGAGTTTAGAGAGAAGTCCAACTCACCAGAGAATGCTGATGCAGTCGAAAAAAGTGAAGCCGAAGGTATTTTTTATTTTTTATTTTTTTATCAAAGTCAAGCCATAATTAATTTGATATATATACGTGAATAGGTAGAGTAGATTTGACAGGTAATAACTCATACACTAAAGGTTTCGAGTCATTTCTGTGAATGTGCTCAACTCGTACTTCACCCTCATCATGGCTAGGTTATTCTATTTTTGAAGATGGTGGAGACGAGGAGATGAGACTGACGATATTTCAGAGTTATTGTTTTTAGAGGAGCTCACCTTTGAGTTGAGACTAGCAGATGGGAAAAAATTCCACCGCGTGTTTTTGTTGCCTACACCAGTCTCTTCAATTCTTTCCTAGCATTTTTGAAAGCTTGTTTGTGAAATTTCGACAAAATTGCAACATGATTCTCTTGTAGCCCTTACGTCCGAGAGGGAGGTGCCCGAACCATCAGTTGACTCCGAAACCGTTAAAGCTATACGAGATCCCGAAGGGCTTTCGCAGCCCGCAGAAGAGAGTCAGTCAGCAACTAGTACGCCCTCAGATACTCAGGCTAATTTCGCTCCCGTTTCGGAAACGGATAGTTTGCTTCCGTCCAAGTAAGTATCATTTCGATTTGTGATTTATCACTCACTCACTTTCAAGCGGCCTCAAATACTAAAATTCAGGTTCTTTGCGATGTGTGAAAAAGCAGCTAAGGAGCCTGCCAAGATCCTCAGTGCGGATGAAATTGAAACTCTTCCTGATCTTTTAGTGTATATCCAGCTTAATTCCAATCCCAGTAAGACTTTTTTCCATAGAAATCAGCAAAGCTACTGAGAATGTTTAATTAAGGGGAAATCAAGGAAGTTGTTGCAAGATTCTTGACGAATCCCACATTGACTGACAATGATCGAGAGCTGATAAGGAAGAAGGTCATGGAGAAGATATCAATAGAGAAGCAAAGAAAAGCCCAAAATAAGAAGTAAAGCCTCCTCAAGCTTCTGCTTTGCTACACTGATATGATGCTTTTTTAGACTTGCCACTCCTAAAGCTGCAAAGGTTTCACCGCAAGTCGAGGAGAAGTCGCAAGATATAAATGAGGGCACTGCTAGTGATAACAAACAGGAACCTGCAAATCCTGAAGGAATCGATCTTGAATCGCTAAATCAACTTTCTTCATTTGTTGGCGAAGGTGCTAAGGATCTTTTCACGCAGGTGAGAAAAAGTCAATGATTTTGGATTGATCTACCGTTT